GTCATTATCTTTGTCCGTTGCCGATACTTTCATGGGCGGGCGGATTTCAGCCACTTACTCCCTCACAGGTCAAATATACATATTAGCCAATCCATTCTTAATGTACTTATTACGTTTTTTTTTTTTACTTACAAACATTAAATTCCAAAATGGCATTTGTGCAACAAACAATTTTTGGGGATTGGTCGGGGAGCGGGTCAATTTTGCCATGAAAACAGAGAAATACTTGCCTTTATTTTAAAATTGAACATTTTTTTTACATTACTTTCTTAGTTACAAAACAGAGAGAGACTAGTTGAGAATTTTTCAGGCGGACTAGTCGGGCAGCAGGTGAACAATGTCATAAAAAAAAAAAAAAAAAAAAAAAGGGGGAGTTTAACTACAATAAAAAATTCCACCCATGACGTGTCGCGGTCTCCACAGGAAACATACGCTTTTAGGGTTTTTTCCCTGCAGGCTTGAAAAAAAAAAAAAAAAAAACACATAATTTGGAAACAAATTATATAATGATTTTATACTTCACTATTGCATCTGAGGACTGTGTTTAAATATTGAGATTTCACTTTTAGTTTCCTAAAATGTTCAGCACACATTATTTTTGTGACTAGTCGGGCAGCAGGTCGGTCAATACTGCCATTAAAAAAAACAAACAAACAAAAAACCCTACAAATACTCTTGTTCATGATAGTATATTTTTACCTTCAAAATATTTTTCTGGTGTCGAAAAAATTTATTTTTTTTCCGGAATAGTTGGGCAGCGGGTGGAGATTTTGCGTCAAAGAAAAATGAAGAAAATGACAAAGGAAAAAAAAAATGTAACACTAATAACAAAAGCAGTAGAAACATTAATAACATTATGTAAACCAGTATACCTGTATAGCTATAAGTCTATATATTTTAGATATATTAATTTTAAGTAGAATAGGTCGAATTCTTGAAGATCTTTGGCATTTGTTTTTTTTTTTTTATATATAGCTCAAAATATTGTCATTTTTTTCTGTAAAAAACAGCATTTCGTGTTATTTAAATTCCCATCGAGCAAATACTTTGCTAATGTTCTTTTTATGGGCCGCTTGTCAAATAATCCATTGATTATTATCACATAACCGGAGGTGGCGGGCGGGGGGGTAGAAAAACAATTCCTGACGTGCAGACAGACGGCAGGATTTCCGCAGCGATTCATTTCTGCCACTTGCGAGGTGATTAGGAAGAACCAATCACATGAATAATAGATGTATCGAGACACTCCATCAGAAGACGCGCACGACAGAGCGGCGAGAAGCGGCTTAATAACACGGGCCGGAAGAGAGCGGGTGGCATCGTGACACTGTGGACGCTCGCAGACATGACGGACTGGAGCTGACACCTCATACCTCAACAAATAAATAAACAAATCCACGTACATTTGTTTACTCCGGAAAGCGGATTGGGGACGGCCATCATCATGAAGACGGATCGGCCCGCCCTTCAAAAATGACGGGCTAAGAAAGTCACGTTGGCGTTCTCCCGTCCGCATCGCCGCCGTGTTCTG